AGGTTACGACTAGACAGTGCTCCTCTTTCTCTACTCTACTCTATTCTTTCTTTTTTTTTAGTTAAAATGAAATAAAATGTGGGTATATACAACAGCAACAAATTGAGTACAAACATAAATTCGAGCCACTCGAGCCATTACCTTTCGAGCTAGTAGCGGAACCGTAAAAAAAACTCTCCATCACATTATTCTCTTTACGTTTTATACGTCTTTTTCTAATATGTCAAATAGTCAATTAAAATAGCTTATTTTCAAATGGGGCTAGTATTCCTGAAGTAATAGTGGATGTTGATGTGGTGCACATGGGAATGAATTCACCATCGTATGACGGAAAATGAATAATTAGAAATTCTGGCTTCTAAGTTGGATAAGAGACAAGGGCAGAGTTTGGTTTATTTTTCAAATCATAATTTAGATGAAACATGTTAACCAAACATGTTTTTAAAATATAACTCAAAATTATTTTCAAAGCTTCTCTCTTCTCTCTCTTTTTTTTTCATTTATTATTAATCAATCAATGAATCACTTTTTCTCTCTCGTTTCTCCTCTTTTTTCAAATTTTATACATCAATCAATCAAAAAAATTACTAATTGTAGACACCCCATTTTTGACGTCCCTTATGACTTGGACGTCCTCGCATGCACACCCGATGATGAGTCTGTTTGCTCGCCAAGTGCCCGAAGTCCTTAGCGGAATGCCATAACTTTGAGCCTTACAAGCCCTGATAGCCTTTCAAACCCAGTTTTGGACCAAGCCTATCTTTTTCAGTCTGCAACCTCTGGTGACCTGTCGGCCACTACTAGAGACTTGCCGGCCATTAATGTGGTTTGCCAGCCATCAGTGACTGCCGGCCACCAGTGTGTTTTGCAGATATTTTATGCTAGTTGTGCCAACTGTTTGCACAGATGCATGCATCTATCCCCACGTGTAGGGCTGGATCTCCTTGAGGGAATTTCATGTTTTCTATATATAGGGGACCCCTCTCTCATGTTTTGGGGTTAGAAAATTTTGAACTCAAAAATTTTCCTCTCTCTCTAGCAAATCTCTACACTTTAGCCTTCAATTCTTTAACATTTGCCTATACACCCTTAACCAAATCTTCTTATCTTTTAGCTGAGGTATTCTTGAGCTTGATTTGAGCTTTAGAGGGTGTACTTACTTGGTTTTGTTGTTTGGAATTACTCTTCTCTTCAAGAGGTATAAGGCTTTGCCTCTTTGCTTGCTTTCTCTACTATTATTTCTACTGTTTTTCCACTGTTTTTGGGCTGTTAAAACTTTGTGTTTTTTAGGCTGAAGCTTCGGTTAAAGGCCATTAAAGGTTGAAGGGTTGATAGCCTTTCTTTATACCTTGCTTTGAGGCCTTTGCCTTGTGTTTCCCACGCTTTTACTATCTTTTTTCAAGCTTTTAAACTCTGATTTTCAGAGCTTTTTCAGTGGCTAAAATCATGTTTTGAAGTCCAAATTTGGAGGGGTTAGCCTCCCCTCTTTATGTCTTGTTTACTAGCCTAGTTTATGCAATGTGTTACCTTAATTTTCTAGCCATTTATAGCTTAATTCCAACATGTTTTAACCTCTAATTTGGACTATTTTAACTCTATTTTGGGTTGGTTAAGTCATTTGAGTCTTGTTTTTCATGCTTCTAGTGTAAGTGTCCTCACAAACTTGGTGTTTTAGGCCTTTAGACACCACTTGTTTGAATTGATTGCATTATTTTAGTGTTTTTCTCACTTAATTTCAGCAAGCATAATCTTTGCAACTTCCCTCATTTCTTCACTCTTTGTTTTCTTTAAGGGTTGTTTCAACCTTGGGGTTGTTTAAGCTTGAGATTGAGGTCCATGCTTAATGGTTTAATCCTCTTTTGTGGGTTCATTATCAATGGCATGACATCTCTCTCTTGCCTTAAACAACCCCTTGTTTGACACTTCCTTCTCTTTTAGAGGACTCAACTCACCAATGGACTTAATTGGTTAAAGAATGGAAGGGTTATTAAAAGGAAAAACTAAAAGTTGAAACTAAAATTGTGCAAAGGTAGAAATTTGATTGTGTCTTGGTGTGTTCAATCGGACATTAATTCAACACATGGAACTTGGACCATTTTATACTTGCTAGTGATGAAATGACCCAAGTCTCCAAAGTCAACCACTTCCCTTGATCTTGCATGAAAGAAATGAGGTTTGTGTCTTTTTTCTTGCAGTTATTGAACTTGCACTCTTGGGTTCACAAGCCATCATGCAATGCAATTGCTTGAATTGGCAATTTGTGGCTTAGGTTCACCACTCTTTGGATTTGTTCATGAAAATGAGGGGTGAGTTGTGCAGACAATCCTTGAAAATATCATGTATATGCTCTGTTTGTCCTCTGTTGCAGCAAGATGAACCTAGCCATCAGTGGCCAGCAGACCACCTCCATGGCCGACTAGTGGCCGGCAACCTTCATCTTTGGCCGGCTGGCCACTGATGCAAAACTCAACAGGGTGTTGGTAAGGTGGAGCAAAGTTTTCTGGAAATGTTTAACTGTGCAAACAGAGGCATTTGGAGCAAAACAGTGGTCTTTTCAGGTGGAATCCGAGCATACGCATGCACATCTCTCATTTCCCGAGGCGGAGTAGTTAGTTGCTTAGTATAATTACTTATTTTAATTACACTTGTGTTATAATTATTTAATTAGTTAAAGTAGTTAACTAGTTGTGTTGTAATAATTAATTAACCAGAATAATTAGCTAATTTATTTATTGTTATAATAATTAGTTAAAGTGGTTTAGCTAGTTATTCATTTTGGTTTGTAATAGTTAGCTTAATTAGCTTAGCTTTAATTAGTTAGTTAGTTAGCTTAGTTTATTCATTCAGACTCTCCTTCGCGGGAGCGTAATGTAATAATGTGTATGTCTTCCAACCCTACGTCTTTCCCCCTTTTATTTACTAGCTTACCATGGTTAGTTTAGGGACATCACGTTTTGTTTATCATACTTCATGTTTGCATCCATTTGTATCACATGCACCGAGGCTCGGTTCATCATTCTAACTGCATTGTTAGTTCAATACTTCTTTGAATACGTGTTTAAACCGCATGCTATTAAATTACCTCATATGCCATATTAGTAACCAAGCCTATTAGTTGTATATCGCATGTGTTGCATTAGTCATATTTCGTAAGTTAGGTATCATGCGCAATTTTCTAACTCTTTCGTTTTATCTTAGCTTGGAGTACTAGGTGAGTTTTTAGTGCTTTAGCATACTTGCATGAGTGTAAGTGACTTCCATGACTAACATGCTTGCCATGAGGCTAAATGCTTACTTGTTAAATTGTTTGAGTGCTTATGGATAAAGGCTTGTTGCTTGAATTGGAATGATTCAATGAATGTACGTTTAAGCCCACTTTGTCAAGTGGCAAATTCACAAAACTTTAAGCCCACTTTGTTAAGTGGAAAAATCAAACCCTTTTCGAAAAACAAACATGAAATTGAATTGTTCTAATTCGAGCAAACTAGTTTATACTTGTGTGTGCGCATCACATAGTAAATGCTAGCTTAATAAACTGGAACAAGGGCATAAAATGTACATAAGATACATATCATGATCAGTAGAGACCGATCTTTGATCGGACGAGCGGGGGTGCTCAATTCATGACCTTCCCCTCTCGTACCTAAGTTCTCGAGCCGAGACAATCTTGGTGATGACGGACACGTGGCCTTTGGCACGAGTTATGGGTTTCCTAAATTTTTCCAAATAAAATATTTAGGTGGCAACTCTGTATCTGGCAAAGCAGTCCATTTTTGGCAATTTGATTCAAAATCAATTTTTCAAAAGATTTGCCGGATTTGGACTCTTTGGCGTTTATCAATTTCACATTACACTTATAAGATTAGATCCAGAACCACGGGAGTCCGAACTGTAGGACTTCTTTCAAACTTTTGAAATGGGGCGCGAAAAAGTTGAGCTACAGTAATCATCCCAAAACTATTTTTAAAACTCATAACTAAACACATTTTCAACTTTCAAAACTCATTTCAACAACTCATCTTTCAAAATACAACCAACTGGTGGGCTAGGTGGGTCAGCCCAAAGAGATGTTGGGCTACCCCAGTTTGGTTGTAGCACTTCTCAAGCTCATATTGAATGTATAGGCCACACTCAATCATCAAACCTACGCCCAACAAGGAAGGAGGGATTAAAGGAGAAAGGTAAAACAATTAAAAGAAAACAAGTGCTGAAGAAACAGATGAACGGGGAAGATCGGTGGTATCAAGAAACTGGGGGAATCTTCATTGAACTTGAGGAAGGGAGCGGTCTTCAGGTCGGCTGTAGCTACAATTTCATTATCAATGGCAAGTGGAGCCAGTAAAGGAAGGGTAGTGATGTCGGAGACGGAAACATCACTTTAAATTGGTAAGGCTCTTGGTCTGGACTGTGAAGGAAAAGAAGAGGAGGTGCTTAGCAAATTAGAAGATCTTGAAGCTCAAAATAAGCAAAATGTTCGGCAAAGGGACGGGGATGTTGACTAGATAATTAATTTCAGCTGCTCAAGAGTTTTATATTGTGCTAATAAAGATACAATCATGGAATGTGAGAGGAATTGGAAAACCTGAAAAAATGAGAAAAATAAAGAAAAGTCTTACAGAAAGAAAAGTAGATATTGCTCTACTCCAAGAAACCAAGAAGGTAGCAATTGATTCTGATGTGGTCCGGTCTATGTGGCCTGGGGATAATTTTGATTTCATGGTAATAGATGCGATTGGCAGATCTGGTGGACTGTTATGCATTTGGAATCCTGAGGTGTTCCAATTAAAGAAAAGTTGCAGTAATCACAACTTTATCCTACTATCAGGTACAATTTTTTTCAGTTTTGATTGTGTTATTATTAATGTTTATGGCCCTAATGAGGTGGTTCAAAGAAAAGAGCTTTGGGATTCTTTAGTAAGGTTGAAATCCAGTTTCTTGGGGCCATGGTGCATGGGGGGTGACTTTCTGAAAGAACTGGGTGTTCGAAAAGGGATCGAGGGATGAGGGATTTCAATAATATGATTGAACGACTTGAGTTGATAGATATGCCTATGCTTGGGAGAAAGTTTACTTGGTGCAATTCACAAGCAAGGGAGAGATGGAGCAGAATTGATAAATTCTTACTTACTTATGAGTGGGTGCAAAATTTTACCTTCAAATTATGGGGTCCTCCTAGAATGTTGTCTAATCACTGTCCTATCATCTTAATGGAGGATAGCCAGGACTGCGGTCCTAAGCCTTTTAGGTTCCTCAATGCCTGGCTATTACACCCCACTTTCCTAGCCTTTGTCCAGCAAAGTTGGTCAAAATCTGTAGTGGATGGGTGGGCAGGGTTCAAGTGTCTTATGAATTTTAAAGCACTGAAACAAGACCTAAAACAGTGGAATGGAGTGGTGTTTGGTAAGGTAGAATTGAAGCTTAAGAGGGTTGAAGAGGAAGCCCATGCCCTTGATTTGTTAGCTGAGGAAAGACCATTGCTTGGGGAAGACTTGATTAGAAGAAAGAAAGTGAGGGGAGAAGCTTGGAAGTTAAGCAAAATGTTAGAGTGGATTTGGCTACAAAATCTCGACTAAACTGGGTATCTAAAGGGGATAAAAACACTAGGTTCTTTCACATTATGGCTTGCAGCAGAAATAGTAGGAACTCCCTGTGTTCAATTGTTGTGAATGGCTCTATGATTGAAGAGCCTTTGGAACTTAAAGTAGCAGTTATGGCCCATTTCATGAGACAATTATCTAAATCTTGGAAAGCTAGACCCAAATTATCTGGCCCATTCAAGAGTATTGGTGGAGCTCAAGTGGTGGATTAGTTGGAGGCAGAATTTACAGAGGAGGAAATTAGGAATGTTATTAGGTGTTGTGATGGTAATAAGGCCTCTGGACCTGATGGATTCAACATGTCATTCTTTAAGAAATGTTGGAAAATTGTGAGAGTGGATGTGCTACAGTTTATGAGGGAATTCCATCAGAATGCAAGACTTGTTGGTGGGATTAATAGTTCTTTTATAGCTTTAATCCCAAAAACTCATAGCCTTTCCTGTTTAAATGAGTATAGACCCATTAGTTTGATTGGATCCTTATATAAGATTTTGGCAAAGGTGCTAGCTAATAGAATGAAAAAGGTGATGCCCAAGGTTATCAGTGAGGTTCAATCAGCCTTTTTGGGGGGAAGGAATATATTAGATGGTATTCTGATAGCAAATGAGGTAGTTGATGGGTGGAGAAGATCTAATAGAAAAGGTTTGGCGCACAAATTGGATTTTGAAAAGGCCTATGATTCTATTAATTGGGAGTTTTTATTTGACATGTTATCAAAGTTTGGCTTTGGGACTAGATGGGTAAGCTGGATGAAAGCATGTGTATCAACTACTAAGATCTCTGTTTTGGTAAATGGGTCACCAACATCCGAGTTTTGTCCTCAAAGGGGTCTTCGTCAAGGTGATCCGCTATCACCATTTCTATTCAATATTGTGGCAGAGGGACTCAATATTTTGCTGAGCAGAGCTAAGGAGTTGGGCCTAATTAAAGGAGCAAAGGTGGGTGCTAATGGATTAAGAATAACACATTTACAATTTGCGGATGATACGATTTTATTCTGTGAAGTGGAAAGGATGGAGGTGAGTAATATCAAAAGAATTCTAAGATGTTTTGAGATCTCATCAGGTCTGAAAATTAATTATCACAAGAGCGTCATCTGTGGCATTGGGGTGGATGATGGTCTGTTACAGGAGTTTACCTCTACTTTAAATTGTTTGCACCAAAAGCTGCCTTTAAGTTATTTGGGACTTCCATTAGGGGCTAATCCAAGTAGGAGAAGCACTTGGAAACCTGTTCTTGACAAGTTCAAACATAAATTGGCTTCATGGAAGAGACGGTTACTTTCTTTCATTGGGAGACTAACTCTAATTAAATCTGTTTTGACTAATCTGCATGTCTACTATCTATCACTGTTTCAGATACCTGCTGGGGTGGCAAAGGAGATTGAGCAAATGCAATCAGCTTTCCTTTGGGGCAGATCAGACCTCAGACGAAAAGTGCATATGGTCCGGTGGGAGGTGCTTGCTAAGAATAAGAAATTAGGTGGTTTAGGCTTGAGGAGGATCATAACGTTGAATCAATGTCTCTTGTTAAAATGGTGGTGGAGGTTCGGAGCTGAGCATCACACTCTTTGGAAGGTAGTGATATGTGCAAAGTATGAGGCAAGGGATGGAAGATGGGTACCGGAATTAATGGGCAGAGGATCTAAGATCTGGTCTGGTATAATCAATGTTGTAGTGTCTGTTCTAGAGTTGCATAATTTTTATATTAATAACTCATAGATTGTTTTGGGGGATAGGAGGAGAGTTCAATTCGGGAGGGACAAAGTGGGTTGGTAATGTATGCTTAATGGTTGAATTCCCAAGGCTGTTTTCTTTATCTAATGACAAAAATGGAGTGGTAAGTGAGTTCTTTGCGAGAAGGGCAGATGATGGTGGATGGAATCTTGGCTTTAGAAGATCTTTATTGGTATGGGAGAAGGAGGAAGCTATCAGATTATTCAATTTGCTTAGCAATGCACCACAAATCTGTCATAACAGAACTGATGAGTTAAAATGGAGTGCTGATCCATCTGAGCTATTCACTGTTGCTTCAGTATATAACTGGTGTGAATCACTTATGGGGCCTGTAGTGCCAGTGGCTGAATTAATTTGGAAAAATTTTGCTCCTCCTAAAGTGCAATTTTTTGGGTGGTTGGCTTGGCTTGGTAAGGTTAAAACTTCTAGTTTTCTCCATAGAATTGGAATCTTAACTGAGAGTGCTAATCTTGATTGTGTCTTCTGCCATGATGAGGTTGAAACAGTGGAACATCTATTACTGTTCTGTCCTTTTGTTTGGTTGTTGTGGTCTAATATAGTGAGATGGTGGGGCTTGCAATGGGTCTTACCAGGTTCTGTGAATGGTTTGTTGCAATTGTGGTCAGGTTGTAGTATGAAGAAGCTGGCGAAGAAAATATGGATGGTTCTCCCTTCGGTGATTCTCTGATCTACTTGGAAACATAGAAATGCTTGTGTATTTTCTGGTTCTCAACCAAATTTGGCAGAATTGTGTGAACTAGTGAAGGTTAGATTAGCTATGTGGCTCAAAGCATCGCCAATTCAGGTGGAGTTTTCTATAAATGATTTGGTATTTAACCTGCAGCAAGTGAGGTATTGCATCAGAAATGGAGGTTGAACGAAAATTGGTGGTGGCTGAGTCTGCTGTCAAGATGCTTTCAGGTATGCTCTGTTACTTTTGAGTCTGCTGTCAGATTTGCTACTGCTTTGAGGTGTTGCTGTTGCTTTGGGTCCAGATTCTGTATGGAAGCAGCCGGATGCAAGTTTTGGTGGTTCTGTAGGGGGTGCCCTGTTTTGTGGGTCTGTTATGCTAAGTTGTGGGTAGATCTTGTTGTGCTCTTGTGCTTTTGTTGTGGGTAGCTATTTCGTTAAATTTTGCCTCAGGTTTGGTGGTTCACCATGCATTACCATCTGGTTGCTAATGCTGATCTGTGCTAATTCTGTTACTGAGGAATGGAAGCTGAGTGGGTGTGCTGTGGTTGAGGTTGGTGTGTTAATCTGAGTTGGAGCAACAGCAGCAGCTTTTAGTAGATGGTTCATCATCTGGTGGGATGGTTTGGTTGTTATATTGTTCTGTTATCTGTAACAGCTTTCAGTGGCTTGTGCTTGAGTGTGTATTGTTCTGTTTCTGTTGTTGCAGTGTGTATTGTTATGTTGTTTGCTGCAGTGTGTATTTGTGTGCATTGGTAGAAGTTTCTACTTGTGCTTGAGTGTGTATTAGTATCTGCTGCTGCAGTGTCAAAGCAACAATCGAAAGAATGACAATTGTGCTTGAGTGTGTATTAGTATCAGGTCACAGTTTACATTGGTAGAAGTCTGCATTGGTGGGAGTCTGCTGCTTGTTACATTAGATGTTTATTAGCTGTTATAGGCTGTGCTCTATTGTCTGTCTTCTCGTTGGTTTCTTACCAACTTGGGGGTACTAGCAAATGATATGATGAGCTTTTTGATGACAATTTAGTTGGGATGATCTAACTCATTGTGATACTTTTACGCTTCCCTTTTCTTTATTGATGTTTTTTGTTTTGTACTGTGTACTTGCTTCTTTCATCAATAAAGCTCCTTTTTTGCCGATCAAAAAAATCAAATCAAATCAAATCAAATCTCGATTCAAAAACTAAACCAAATGAAGCCAAGGTCGGTTCCATCTAACCTACGTTGGTGGAAGATAAGGTCGGTTCCATTCATTTTCTTTTATGCGGTCTCATTAGTTAAAAATACTACATATACGTGTATTACTCCCCAATCGGCTTTTTTGACTTGAATTTACTTCCATATGTTTTTTGAAGAAAAAAAAAAGAAGGGAAATTAGGAAAACAAGCTTAATTTTTTGATTTGAAATTCAAAACTACGCATTTTCTTCGCCTGCCGATACACTTGCTAACCCAGGAGCCCATATGGGTACTAATAATATATACACCAAAGTAGAGCAACAATATTAATGATAATTGCTGTTATAAAATTGAGAAAATGTAAATTAAATAAAAATAATAATAATTGTAGAATAGAGAAAGTAAATAACTGGACACAAGATATAGACAGATGTAAGTTCTTCTGCAACTTATATTTGATTTTTCAGGAACCTTTAAATATAGATGTTCAGGATCTTAGTATGTTATTTTATTCAATAATTTAATTATACATTTCAGTATAATTCCTCTATTTCTTTTCTGATCCCTATGCTTTCTTTCTGCTTCACTTTTCTTATGTTACAAAAGAATGGATTGTATCTCCATATTTATAGAGAAATACACATGATATGGAATAGTAAGAAATAGTAAAAACATTTACTACCCTATAAATTTAAATTTTAAAGGTTATTCTAGAGCATTGGTTATTCATGTCTCATACACATGTTTCATTAACAATTGCAATATACTCAAAAAAATAAATCACAACATTGAATTGGTATATTTTTAATTTTTAATTTTCTATATCAAAAATTTTAATTTTTTCTTTCAAAATTTTTTTTTTTAATCTTACATATATCTAAAAACCTGTAATTTTCTCATCCTGTAAACTATGAGTAAAAGTTAGGGAAGCAACTCGGACGGGTTCGGTCAGGTTGGGAGGTTGTCCAAGCCCAGCTCAAATTGTGCTGAGATGTATCTAGGTCCACTCATGCCCGAATTGTAACCTGAGATTATCTATCCAAGTCTGCCCCGAGTTAAATCTGAATTGTCCGAATTGTACATGAATTTCAATTTTTTTTTTTTTTTTTGCAGTTGAATTATTAATTTATTAAAATTAGACTCTATTTATATTTTTTTAGAAAATCATTAATAACATCAAAATAAATAATTTATATAATGTAAGAGTGACGCGCTATGTTAGTCTTTACAACTTATGAGTGAGAATAAAAAAAATAAGATTTTATATTACTTGTGTATATAATATATATTCAATATGATTTAATAATCTAAATTACTTCAATATCATGTAATGATTAATAATTTATATATATATATATATATATAATATTTTTATATATTTATATATGTATAATTTGGGTTTTGCGTTGTTCGGATTGTTTGATGCATTTGCCGAAGCCCGCCCAATTTTAATTTGAATTTCTTAATTTTTGCCAAAATCCGTACACTACAAAAAAAAATCATTTTTGGCGACTAAATTTTTAGTCGCCAAAAGTCCGCTTTTAGTCGCCGAAAGTCGAGTTTTTACTTTCAGCGACTAATTTTTTTAGTCGCCCCTTTTGTCGC